AATATCATATTTCTGATCTTTTGTCCACAATCATTTCATTCCCAAATTGCTGAGGATTTTTATAAAAAAAAAAAACAATTTAATTCGAAATAAAGAGTACATCCAACAAAAATGCTCCAATTATTTCAGGATTACCGGGAAAGTTATTTTAGTATCAACTGAATGGAGGGATTATTTGCTTGGTCATTTCTAATAAATCAGAGTTCATGAAAATGCTGAAACACGTCAAATTTTCACTTAAGCTGTACAGTTTTCGAAATACTCATTAAACACAGCTTTCCAAAATGATTTCTATATCAATATACCTTTCATTCAACGTATTGAAATAGAGTTCTCGCAACAAATTTGATATTGTAATGCTTTCAATGGAGAAATAGTGTTTAGCTTCAGGTTAGCTTCAATCTTAAATTCAAACTGACAAGCGCATGTGAAGAGATCAAAGTGCAACTAGAGCAGAATATTGAAATAAATGTTTTAACAAATTGAATTACGAATATTCACGACATTGTCCGTTTGCAGCTTCAAGTGTAAATAATTTTGGTGTCATTTCCACTGTCGCTGGTTTTGTCGCGCAAAGTGACCAAAAATCGCGAAATTTTGCTAAAATAGCAAATAAATGTCACATCAAGTTTTCAGCCTCTGGTCTGCAGTTGACATAATGCAGAATTTTGAACAATTGTTGCGGATGATAAAATATTATGAGAAAGGGAGAGGGAAAGCAGAGGAGAGAGTCACAAAAGAGCCGCACATTGGGGCATGAGATGCTATTGGAAAGTATATAAAATGTAATGGAATTGAGTCAGACAAGAGGGAAATTTGATCTTTCTTCCCGTGTCTTATATCTTTTGTATTCCTCACATATCAATAACAGTAGCTTTCAGCTACTCTGAATGGGATTTGCCTAATGGTCTCTGAGACTTTTTTTTACTATAGCCTCTCAATGGAGCTTTAGAAAATTGTTTCAACCCCTTCAGAGTTATTCTAACCTCCACCCTTAACAGTCTTTTCTGCCACTGCTCAGACTTTCACATTCGCCCTCCCCTTTCCGAAAAAGGCGAGTGCGAAGAGAATACCTGGAAGAGATCATTGTAACTTCTCTTGCCAATTTTTTGCCGCCACTTCTTTGCTTCGCAGCCCGAAGGGGAGTTGTTTGAAAGAATAAATTGCGCACATTAAGTGAAAGACCATTTCCGACTCGATATAGCACCCACATGGGTGGGAAATGCCCTCCCATTTGCGAGAGGGCTGGGAATTGAGGGTGTCAGTTACCCCCAGAGTGACTCCGGAGCGAGGAGAAGTTTAGGTGATTCCGAGGGACGCCCCTTTTCACATTCCAAATGGGCATCAATGCCATCAAGCAAAGGAGTCAGGAAGGAATGAAGACAGCCCCAGAGGCGAAAAAAGAACTCCCATGAACTTTTATTGCTTCGACTCATCCTGCATGCACAATTCAAAATTCCCTCCTTCCCCACCATTTTCGCTCTGGTTGAGTCTTTAAGTGCGCAGCAGCACAATTAAGTTAGTCGTGCTGACCACAGTGAAGCTCTTTTTCCAATCCTCCGCGCAGAATTTTAAGCTCCTTCCGGATACTAATTGAAAAAGTATGTTTTTTTCTTGTTGCCAAGAGAAATTTGCCAATGTGGCTTAAAGGGCACAAATGAGCAAATAGAGAGTTTTTGCCAATAAAACCCTCCTTGGCATGCTCTCACTGTGAAATACCATCGCGACCGTCGCACAAAAGAAATTGTTAAACAATGAAAATGTTTTGTAACAAGAGACCCTTCTCGTCAAATCCCACTCCTCGCTCAAATGTGTTTCATCCCTTCTTGTTTGACGGATGAAATTCAAACAACAGACCCATGGGAAGGGGTAGAATAGGGGGAAAAGAGCAAGAAAAGCCTACATGTAGAACCTAAAGGACTCTTTAATTATATATATATATCGGAATGATTTTGCTATGTATTTCCCAGCTAACATACGGAAAATCTCATAACAACGCTTATTTTGACATATTGACTTACGGACAAAATTCAATAGCATTTTCCAGGAAAATAACCTACAAAATATACGCAAAGCAGAATTTCTTAACTTTATTTAGACAGGAAATATCAACACTTCAATTAATTGAAAATGAGCACCAAAAATATACATAAATTATTGGTCACACTCAGTCCTGTTGCTCCTGAATATACATCAAATTGCAGAGACAATAAATTATTCATAATGATAATTCAGCTATTAATTATGCATTATAAAGGCTCAACACAATAACCATGTCCTGTTCAAATTAACTATTAAGGGAAACTGACAGCTTATGAAGTTGTGAATGTCTCTCAGCACAGAATCGAGCAAAAGTTTCGAAAAGATGAGTTGGAAAGTTTATTTGATTGAATATTTTCTAACAAAATCCTGAATCCCATATTATATAAATCCTGCAAAAAGTTACAGAACTTTAATTCCAACCCATGTTACACAAATTGCATATAGTCCGATAAAGTGTCAAACAATTATCACGAGAAAACTTCATGTGGAATGAAAATATATTGAATAATTATCTGAGCCTTGGTGAACTTTTCAAAATTCACAATTTATTTTATTTAAAACATAACACAAAAGAGTATTTACGATATTAAATTCCATGTAAAATTCACTTAGAATTTCATAACACAATTCCTCCCATATTGTATGGGGAGAAGTTATATATTGAAAAGAGGTAAAATGTATGAAAATTCCCTAACAAGTAATTCCATTGTGCATTAATTATAATTGAAAATCTTTTTCTATTCATTCGATGGGGGGTGGAAAAATCTATTAGCCCAGAATTTGCTGAATGGTTTCAGTGAAAAACTTATCATGGGAACTCATTAGCAAATTTGTGCATTTAACATTCAATGAATAATACTCAAACATGAAAATTGAACCATTATTCCATGCTACGTTTCCAATCTAGAACATTTCAGCGTTCCCCTTCCTCCCTGTCAAAATCCGGCTGGAAAAAGCCCCCGCAGAAAATCGAAAGCTAGCACTGGGTGGAATTTTTAATGAATGAAATGAAAATGTGCCTTCGATTATCAAATTTACTGCCCATCCTGTGTCAAAATGATGCCAGAAAGAGTGGGGAGAAAAGACAGAAGTACATAATTACGGTGGAAAATTAACAAGAGCGCACCTGAGAAAAAAAACTCAACAACCAATCTTCCGCCGCATTTTCACCTCACACCCCTCAATAAATCCACACTTCACCCTCACGCCCCGCATTTTGTGCGGATGGCCAGAGAAAATATAACGACTAAAAGCTGCAGAGCATTCATGGGCTATAATTGAGGCAAAAATAATCCCTGAGATTTCCATTTGCCATGGATTTTTCCCTCAACCAAAGTGGCGAATTCACGAGAAACTGCGCTCGTTGGATTCCATCTTCAACCTCAAATGATGGTCAATTACTACTGAACACAAATGGTTTAATTCACCGTGCATTATTTGCTCGCACGAGAGGTTACCGGGAAAGATTGTGGGCTCTGCAATGAAGAATCTCAGCGCTGGCAAAAATAAGACAAGAAATATGGTGGAAATTCACCATTTTCTTGACTGATTGTATGAAATAACTGCGCGTTTCATGTATTCTGCAATCTCCTGTTTTGCGTTTTGTCACTGTAAAGAATTGTGATCATTCCAGCAGTTTTTTCGACATCTTTTGAGCACATGATCTGTGTTTTCAGAGCTTTTTTTTCCTGGAAAGACTAAGGAAGACAGAAATGCTGGACTCTAGATATTCGCCCCTTAAATACCCAATTAACAAATCATCCCATAATATGTATGTTCAAATTCACTTTGCTAGTCGTGCCTCCTCTGCGAAATACGGCCACGAAATTGAGGAACAACCGTCGTACATTGTGAACTTGCCAAATTCACTTTCTGCCTCCGTCCCAATTCTCATCAGCCGCCCTGAAGGTCCCGAAGTAAATGCCCCGGCGGGAATGGGGAGCATTTGGGACGCAGGGATGAGGAAGAAAAATGAACGGGACAGAAGTGGAGAACGTGGAGTCAGCAAAAAGTGGCAAAATGAACGCTTGAGCGGGAAGACGAAAAAAAAATCTGGGTAAAATAATGCAGGAGGGTTGATGGTGTGGGGGTGAAAGCGCCCATAAAAGTTTCCCGAGGAAATTAAGTGTTTCTCCCCCGCACTCCGTGGCGCTGTTCTTATTTTATTTATCATTTTTCCTGGTAATTTTGTTATGATACCATTTTCCGCATGGAAATGGTTTCAAAGTTGCACACCATAAACACCAAGGGTGGCAGTCGATGGGGCGACGAGGAGTCTTCGCACACAGCCAAGGTGAAGAAGCACTTGGCCTCAGATGATGAAAGGGTGACTTTTGCCAAGTAATTTTGTCGCATGAAGTTAGTGGCGGAACGAATGCAGTAATACCATACTAATTCCCTACATTCAATTTTCAGTCCTTGACACACTTTTTTTGGGGGGCTTCACTTCAAAGCCCAAAACTCCACACTGGAAGAACGAATGTAAAGTCAAGCCCGTGCTGAGGATTATCTTCGATCTCCATCAAGATAATTTACAGATTATCCCTTTGTCTACCCAACAAAACAGTCACAGAAGCTCTGAGATAGAAATGAGGAGCCGAAAAACCCACCCATTACATATGTTAGTCTCAGTCAGAATAACTTTTCACTCACATCCATTTTTGCCAGTGCTCTTGAGATTCTGTCTTGTGAATTTCCGGAAACATCTTGTGCTATATTCATCTTCATTTTTAATATATTTTCTGGCGCTTTTTGCCATTGCACCCCAAACATATCCACCGTGAGAAGCACGACACTAGTGCAAAATGACGTGGACGTGAGAAATATTGCAAGTGACAGAGTGAATCATTTGGAGGTGAGCTTTAATCTCGCAACACGATCGTCACTTTTCCACGTCCAACCATTTAAAGCGACTTTAAAGAACACGTATTTCCACTTATGTCAGTACAAAAACTTACCTTCTGTCTAATTGGCTTCAATTGCAGTTCAAGAATCTCTCACCTGAAAGAATAGCACAAAAAAAACGGTCTAAGAAACATATTGGATATCTTCTTATGAGCGCGCCGCTTAAGAGCTCTCTTAGAGCGCTCCTCTTATCACTTAAAAACGGCGCGCTCCAAAATCGATTAGGCGCCGACATTTTTGGGTGCATTTGCACTCGTGCGCAGTCGGCCGGTGCTCAGCGGAATGTGAATGGATTTATAAGGGGATTCCGCTGAGTCATCGGCCTCTATCACTCCTCAATCGCTCATCACTGCGTGTTATCAATATCTCTGTTTTTTGTGGCGGCCATAGTGGCAATTTGTGTAATTTAGATTGCATTTCTGAGAATTCGAGGCCCTTTAAATTTGCCAATTCGTTGAGAATTTACGTCACTGTTGTATTAGTTAAATAGTGAATTAAATACGTCCTAAGTAAATCTCACGAGCGTTTTCTCTGGTGTGGCAAGACGAGGAATTGGAGCGGACTTTCCTCAGTCTTCTCAACTTCTTCACAACAATTTGGGCAGAGAAAAGGGCGCAGGACACAGAATTTTTTGTCCTTCATCCGCGGATGGAGTGATTGAACTATTCTGTGTATTCTACAGGTGAGAACGAGACCTTTTCTGGGATTTCTTGGCGGAGGAATCATTGGAGAGTTTTATTAAGACAATTCTCGTTCAATACCAGGTGAGCTACAGGCAATTTTGGGCACTTTTCCTGGCGGAGGACTGCAGGAGGCGTGAGGTGTATTAACACACTGCTCTGCCATTTATTTATCAGGTGCGTGAGCCACATTTTTTGTCCTTCATCCCGCGATGGATTGATTTGAACTATTCTGTGGTATTTCTACGTTGAGAACGTATCCGTTTCTGGGATTTCTGGGGCGGAGTGAATCTCCCTGGAGAGTTTTATTAAGACAATTCTCGTTCAATACCAGGTGAGCTACAGGCAATTTTGGGCACTTTTCCTGGCGGAGGACTGCAGGAGGCGTGAGGTGTATTAACACACTGCTCTGCCATTTATTTATCAGGTGCGTGAGCCACATTTTTGGTCATCTTCGCCTTTTCCTGCGACCTTCAGCGACTTCCGGCCGTCCATCCAGCCATCATCATGTCTCTGGTGAAGCAGCGAGACGGAATTGTGACCGCCATCGAGCGAATCGAGGCCTACCTGGCGTCGCTGGGCGAGGCAGACGTCCCTCATCTCACCCGAGAGGTTGTCACGTCCCAGAGGAATTTAGCAGCGACGCTGAGGGCCGACTACATCGATGTCCACGCTCGGATCATCGAGTCCACCGGCGATGCGCAGACCAGGATCAACGAGCAGGCGTGCAAGACGAAGTTCTTGCAGAGAGTGGAGAGCCTGCTGGAGAAGATCAACCGCTTCCTGGTCAACTTCCCGCCGCCGCTGCCCAGGACGTCTAGCCCGAATACCTCGGGCGACTTTGCTGCGGTCATGGAGCGGATGATGCTGCAGAACCAGGACCAGATGACGCAGCTCATCGCGGCGTTTCGTCAAACCGCAAGTAGCGATCCCTCACGTTCCATTAAATTGCCACAAATCCAACTGCCCACCTTCAGTGGCAAATACTCGAGTTGGATATCATTCAAAGACCGATTCATATCTTGCGTCAAGTCCTCCACGAGTCTGAATGATGTTCAAAAATTGGAATATTTGCAATCGGCCTTGACGGGAGACGCCGAGTCACTGATAAAACACCTGCCCACAACCGCCGCGAACTTTGGGGTAGCTTGGGAGTTATTAATTGAGAAATACGAGAGGAAAAGCGAGATTATTGCTGACCATGTTAGGACGTTTTATAATATGCCCTCTGTCACGTCCCTGGAGCCAACCGCCATTCAGAAAATCAGCAATATCCTCTCGGAATCCACGCTGGCACTTGACGCCATCAACGTGACCACGCGTGACCCTTGGCTCATCCAGTTCACGCTGGACAAACTGGACACGGAGTCAAGGGTTCTCTGGGGAAGAGAGTGCGGCAATAGAGTGCCCACTCTGAAGGAATTCCGTGCCTTCTTAAATCAGCGTTGCATCGACGCCACAAACGCGATCCCCATTAATAAAATGCCGCCCAATGAGCGCTCCCAAGTCCCAAAGCCAGCTTCTCAGCCCAAGAAGCAGATGCCATCCATCCATAATGCCACTGCCACAAATAATTGCAAATGCTGCAACCAGTCAGCTCATCCCCTCTACAAATGTGCCCGCTTCCTGGCACACTCACCCGGGGAGAGATTCGAGGTCGTGAAGAAGCTGAGCTTATGTAGGAATTGCCTGGCCTCTCATCATACCAATTCCTGTACCTTCCACAAGTGCCGGAAGTGCCAGGGCAAACACAATGTTCTTCTTCACGACAAGTTCGTCGGTGAGTCTTCTGCCGATCCGCCGGCTCCGCTCCCACCACCGTCGAACCCTTCTCCTGTGGCAAACATTAACACCCAGACCACGCCGAGTTCTTCTGGAGGGCACACTAATTTTACTGGCCACTCGACAGTCACTCTCTCCAATTCCACTTCCACTAGTCGCCCCCATTCAACCGTCCCGAAGGTTTTCCTGGCGACAGCGGTGGTGGACATCATTACTGTGAGTGGACAGCGAATCCCGTGTCGCGTGATGTTAGACGGTGGAGCCCAAGTCTGCATTATGACGACAAGCCTGTACCAGAAGCTGCGGCTTCCGAGATCTCCTTCGGACATCACAATCTTGGGTGTTGGTAGTCAAGCCAATCAAGTGAAACATCGCGTTTCCACAACCATTTTCTCCCGGAAAAATGGCAGCCAGTTCTCCTTCGAGAGCTACATTATGCCACGGATTTCTGGCGACATCCCCAACTGGGCAGTGGACTCGCAAGCCATCCAAATTCCTCACGGCGTCGAATTGGCTGATCCTCAGTGGGACGTGCAGCGCCCAGTGGACCTACTAATCTGTGGCAATGCCTATTGGGATAGTTTACTTCCAGGCAAGATCAGTTTGGGCCCAGGACTGCCACATCTGCAGGAGACTGAGTTTGGCTACGTCCTCGTCGGAGAGCATCAACAATCGGCTTACGTGCACCATATAGAGGCTGCTCCAGCCCTGGATGTTGCGCTGCAGAAATTCTGGGAGCTCGAGGATCTGCCGGACGATCCACCACTCACTGACGAGCATCAACTGGCCGAGGCTCATTTCTGTGAGACACATAGAAGAGATGCAGAGGGGAGATTTGTGGTCAAATTGCCCTTCCGTGAGAGTTCAGAAGTTCTGGGACAATCTCGAGGACAGGCGGTGCGTCAATTCTTGGCTTTGGAGAGGCAATTCGAGAAGAAACCAAAGCTTAAGACGATGTATGAGGAGGTGATGAAGGACTACAAGGAAAGAGGATGGCTGGAGTTGGTTCCACCTGGCGAATTCGGCTCTTCCTCCTATTATATGCCACACCATGGAGTCCTCAAGGAATCCAGCGTCACAACTAAGCTGCGAGTTGTCTATAACGCGAGCGCTAAGACCAGCTCGGGCTACAGTTTGAATGACATCCTCATGTGTGGCCCCAATGTCCAGCCGAACCTCATTCTCACGCTGCTTCGATTCCGTCTGCATCCAATTGCGATGAGTGCGGACATATCCAAAATGTATCTGCAAATCCAATTGGACTCCGCGGACGCGAACTTCCAGAGATTGGTCTACCGAAGTTCTCCACACGAGCCGCTGAGAGACTACAGAATCCCTCGCGTCTGCTTCGGTGTTGCATCATCACCATTCCTGGCCACGAGAGCACTCATCCAGCTGGCCAATGACCACGAGAAGGAATTTCCACAGGCAGCAGCTGCGCTCCGCACCAATTTCTATGTCGATGACCTGCTGGTGTCGACATCCACATATTCGGAGGCAGAAAGGCTGCAATCTCAACTGGTGGAATTACTTCTTCGTGGTGGATTCACTCTGACGAAATGGTCGAGCAATAGCCATCGCTTGTGCCGCCAACCTGATCAAGATGCGATGCCGGACGCGGTGACAGTGGGCGAATCCGTCACCAGCACTCTGGGAATGATTTGGAATTCATCTTCGGACGATTTCAGATATACTTCTCCAATGGACATCTCCGAGGACATCAGCACAAAGCGGCACATGGCATCCGGCGTTGCCAAATTCTTTGATCCGGTCGGCCTGATGGGACCGGTCATTGTTGAGGCCAAAATCATGCTGCAGGACATGCACAGGATGAAGTTGGGATGGGACGAGCCAGTGCCTCCTGAAGTGCAGAAGCAATGGAAGGATTTTGTGCTTCGGCTTCGAGATATCACGCAAATTCGCATTCCGCGCTGGATTTCCATGTTCTCCAACCCTGATGGCGTGGAACTGCATGCATTCTGTGACGCAAGTGGCAAGGCTTATGGAGTTGCCATTTATGTGGTCACCATCTTCCAAGGACAGCGCTTTGCTCGCCTACTGATGGCCAAATCTCGAGTGGCTCCGAAGAAGGAAATCACAATTCCCAAACTCGAGTTGTGCGCGGCGACTTTGGCCGTTGAGACGACAAGTAGAATTCAGGATGCTGTGGTCCCTGATTCTACCCACTATTGGAGTGATTCCACAGTCGTCTTACACTGGATCAATAGCCCGCCTGACGCGTACAAAATCTTCGTCGCCAAGCGCATCGGAACCATCCGCGAGAAAACACGCGCTAATCAGTGGCGGCACGTGGCATCCGGGGAGAATTCAGGAGACATCATTTCTCGTGGTGCTTCTCCGTCACAACTAATTGATATGTCTTTGTGGTGGGAAGGCCCAGCCTTCTTGAAGGAGCCAATGACGTCCTGGCCTCCGCCCTTCAGCTCAGCCGGCTGTGCAGCCGAGGAGGTGGATTGTTTCGTGGCTTCCGCGAAACAAGAGTGTCTCATTCAGCCCCTATTGGAGAGATACTCGGGCCTTCCAAGGATTCAGCGCATCATGGCTTATGTGCTGAGATTTGCTCTCAGGCGTCGACATCCTCTGCCCGCCACAATTGCGCCGATTAACGCTGAT